GGCCCCTCAGGACCTGACTGATTCTTTGGTGGTTTTTGGACGTTGCTGTCTTCCTAGCCGCTACATCATGGTTCCCATGTGACTGTGGAATACCAAAGTACTTGTAACTGCTCAGTGTATCTGTTATGTCAGGGCTTTTCAACCAGTGGTACGGGTACCACCTGTGGTACACTGGCACCTGGCAGGTGGTACGCGACCATCCCACAAATGTGGTAGTGGGGGAGGGGAATGAGCTGAACCACTGCACAAGCCTGAGCGAGAGATGGCTGGAGCTGCAGGGCTGTCAGGGCTCAGCGGAAGCGCCAAGATCAGCAGTTCTTCAGGACTGTCAGGGCATCAGGATCAGCGCCAGGCTCCAGCTCGAGCTCGGTGCTGATCCTGGCGCTTCTGCTGAGCCCAGAAGAAGCGTCGATCAGCTGGAATGTTGCAGCATCTCCAGGGTCTTGTGATTTACATTCAGATGCTTGGCAACTGATTCATATTTATGACAGTCACAGTGTCATGTGAAGTGACCAAAACCTGCTGCAACCACTCAGCAGACGGGGGGAATAAAAACCAAACACCCCCCACCCCACCCCTGCTGCCAATTCTCACAACAATGAAAACCTCGGACAGGAGGAAGAGCACTGCCAGGTGGGCAGGCAGGTGTCTTGCTCGGCTGTGGCTTGGGGGCACTTTTTTCAGTGCCATTGTGACTTCGAATAGTCACTAAGCGAACTGTTAAGTCAAGGACTACCTGTACTTTATCACTTTTTTCCTTTTTTTTTTTTTAGTCATCAAGTTTTTGACACCTTGCTAGACGACTGGTGGTACTCAGATATTGCCATATCCTAAAAGTGGTACAATGGGTGAAAAGGTTGAAAAGTTCTGTGCTATGTGATCCACTAGTATATATATTTTGACATAACACATGATGCAACAGATACAATATGAAAACAACTTGAAAATCCTAAAAAGTAAGAAGAGAGCAATGCTTGGGAGGAATATTGTTGACAGAATTTCATTATCTGTAGCATCCCAGTAGTATTAGATTTGTAATATACTGAATGTAATATTACTCTGTGCTTTATTACCATTTTACCTGTATTATCTTAAATTTATTTTACATTGCCTGAGAAACAAATAGAATGAAAGAGGATGTAAATGCATACTAGAAATAGTGCCTGAATGTTATTTCAAAAAAATGCTGATTTAGAGATGGATATTGTAGAATTCATTTGAAAACTCAGATACTGTACAAAAGCAGGAACAGCAATAAAATGTCAAACTAACTTATAACATTTTTGGCAGCTTACACTATTTGATATTTAAAAGCTGATACTACTTACGGTAGGCAGATATAGATTTTAATAAAGGCTCAAATATTAAACATACTTTATTTATTTGATTTTAATGCTTAAATATCCTTTTGTTAATTATTCAGTGTACTTTACAGAAATTAAAACTCTGGGGTGAGTTCAGACCTTCTACTGGATGTCAGGGAGAAAGGGAAGCGCTCAGTCAGTTCTTGCCAATTTCTGCAAATGAGTGCCCTAGTTATGTTAGGCCAAAACAGAATTAGGGAAATGGCAAACTTTCATATAAATTACAGAGCATTCTCTTGAATGGCATGAGAGATACTGCAGGGGAAGAAAGGAACTGTCAAAACTCAGTTCCTCTCCCTTTTCTATCAGACAGCATCCACTGCAATCCTGTGACTTGAGCCCTCCCACTCACCAAAAAATTAGCCTGGCTCTTGTTAAACTAATAGGCGAATCTAAAATTCATCTGTATACATCCACTCAAAGCAACCTAGAAATAATAAGAAAAAAAAACAAAATGTTGTATGACTATATTGTAAAATGTCACATTATTCGGATGTATAAACAGAAAGACACTGGAACACCTCCTATTTCCCTGTCCCCCCCCCCTTCCCACCCTTCCACTCACCGGCCCCATTTGTGCCTCTCAAAACAATGGAAGCAATATCCTGCAGGGCTGCAGTGAGAAACAGCAAAACATCCATTAGAGACTAAGCAACACAGCCTCCACTATGCAAAAGAGAATAGTAACTGAAGAGTATTTCAGAAGACTTGAGCTTCAGAAGTGGGGGGGGGGGCAGAAAGATGGGTTGCATAAACTTCCTTACCAAATCATTTCACTCAGTTCAGAAACTTTAATGCATTGATGATGCAGTTCTAGGCTGTATGCGTTGGGACTTAACATCTTACTCTGTAGGTGAGTCCTAAACCTTATTTAGGTAAAATCAGAAGCATTAATCACAAGCATTGCTGTTTCTAATGAATTTAGAGGCTACATTCAGTTTTTATATCTGGTCAAATACAGAAAATTATATTTCCTGCATAGTATTTTACTATCTATTATTTTGTATTTGCTACATAGTATTTTATTTTATCATTACCTTCATCATAATCACTATTTAAGATAACTGTGGCCATGCTATTGTTTGCCAGTTAGATTAACTTAGTTTCTTCCCAAAGTATAGTAATCTTCTAACCTTATTTTTACGAACTTTTACTTTCATTTTTCAGTATTCTGCTGCATATCCCAAATCTGTTCTGGGCAAACCTCATAAAGCCTCACAATAGATAGCAGGATGCCCAAAGCAAAAGTCCACACTATGAATGGATGCCAATTCTTCCACGGGTGTCGAACTCGATCACGTCATGTGATGTATCTATGATGTTTTTTGCCAGGGTGGGCATGGCCTGCGTGTGATGCATCCGGCCCACCAGCCATCAGTTTGGCACTCCTGTACCAGGTGATAGAACTGGATTGCAGTTCTTTGGTTTTAAGCAAAAAAGGCTCGTTGCTTCAACACCTTTCTTTCATATTATTAAACAATCAAAATTCAGGTGATTGTATTTCTCAGTTTCACAGCTTCATTCATTAATAAGTATTTTGTTTAAGCTTAACAGATAGGATCCATTCAGAGCAGATATTAATGAGTTGTTTTCTCACATGCAATTCATTATCCCCTATTCCACTCTACCCACTGCAACAAAAATTGTCCTTGATAGGTGGGAGATTGTTGTATTTTTTTTTTCTGAAACCAGAATATCAAGTAACATAAAGAGGTGTTTTTCCTTATAGAGTTTTGTTAAATGGTAATGCCTTAGATAAACGTAATATACTTCTAAATATAAACAGTTTTCTTTTAAAAATAATGATCAAATCAATTTCCCAAACAGTTCATATTTTTTTCTTCAGGCAGAAAACAAAGGCCCTCTCATTATTTATCTTAAGACTATGATAGAGCTCTGTTGAGAAGAACATTGCCTGCTTCAGGAAAAATAATCCTGGGATTTTTGCTCAAGCAGCAAAAGATTATTTTAAAAATTATCCTATGCTCAAAAAAGAGAAAATTTCCCACAATATATAAGAAAAATAAAGACTTTACTTATTATTTAAAGTTACATTTTAAAGGGAGAAAAAGTTCAAACACTGTTTATACCTTAGCTATAATATTCAATTTGATGCTTCCATGAGGTGATTTTACAATTCTTAACTGTGAGGTTTTCCTCATCCACTATGCCCTTTATTTCATTTAGCTAAATGAGATCTTGATAGTATGACATTAAAAAAAAACCTAGCTGAGAAATGATGCCAAATTTTGGACAATTATGGGATTCAAGGATGACACTGGTGTGCGATGATGCATAGAAGTGTGGATAATAGGTCTTCTGCTGGAAGACATAATGCATAATTATACTTTCTCGATAGTTACTAGCATGTAGTAGAGACAACTTAGAATAGAAGTACTGACAGTCAAAAGATAACGGAGAAGAAAATAAGCTAAGTTGCATGGAAATCAAACATTTTCAATGGCTTCTCACTTCTCCAGAATAGATAATATTGTTGTATGCATTGTCAGATATCTAGATTATGGAATTGACAAGTAACCCAGTTTTACTTTTTGTTCAAATAAATTATTCAATAAAAATGAGCAGGAAGTTTCTCTTGATTGTGCACAGTAGCAGCATACAAAGGTGTCAATAATGAAAAGGGAGTGGCTCCCTAATATTCATTATCCATAGTTTTCTTCTCTCACTTTTAATAAGTAATCACTTTCAAATGAAAGAGAAAAAAAAATATAAGAGCCTGACAGGAAGAGTTAAAGAAGTCCTGTTCCATCTTATCTGTGGATGAAGCAAATGGTTGGAAGGTTGCACCCATTTTACAGCATTTTATTCGGAGCAGACCAATGTAAGATGGTGCGATACAGGGGCATCATCAGATGTTATGAAGATAATAATTTGGGGATGGGCAAGAGATTGTCCAAAGCAGCCTGATAGGCTGGCTTAATTCCATTTTTAACTTTTAGAAAACTGTGGATTCTAACTGGAAACAAAATCACTACTTTTCCACATATCTGCTATCCAGTTTTCCAAAAAGACCAGGTGTAATTTATTATTAGTGAAAAAGTAAAAACATCTGACTTGTAGTATTGTTTAACTGAGTTCTAGTACGGTATTTAGAAATATTTGTTAACCGCAGAATATTTTTTTGAAAATGAAAAAACCTGAAAATGTTAACCTTCTCTCTCAGCTGTTATGAATGTATTCAATATTGTTTAATCTCACTAATAATTTCTGAGACATCTAACAGTGTTAAATTATAAAATTACCATGATAAATAATATGGATTATGAGTCCATATTGATTGATTAAAAAATAGAGGTATCTTGAAGATTTAACTTGTGAACAGCTTGAAAATTATTCCACCATGTTTTTATTTTATCTTTTTAATTAGAAACAAGATTGGTTAGTTCTTCTGCTCAGGGATTAGGTGTGAAATGAAAGATCTTGGGTTATACAGTTATACCTATGGCACACGTGCCAGAGGCGGCATGTGGAGCTGTCTCTGTGGGCACACGCCATCACCCCAGCACACAAGTTCGCCATCACTGGCCTAAGGCCAGCCAGCCTGGAGCCGCCATTGGGGAGCCCACCATCCCACCTGCCAGAGACCCCCTGGATCTCCCCCAACCCTGCCCTGCCCCCACAGGTGTCCCTCCCCATAAGCAACACTGAGGTGGCCACGCCTACCCCGGCCATGCCCACCCAGTCTGCCATGACTACTGCAGCCACACCCATCCAGTGGCCATGCCCACCTAGTCTTCCATGCCCACTGTAGCTGCGCCCGCCAAGTGGGCCACACCCACCTGGCACCCGGCAATAAATAAGTGGGTTTTGGGTTGCAGTTTGGGCACTCGGTCTCTAAAAGGTTCGCCATCACTGAGTTATACAATTGATCCTGTTGAACTGTATTCAGTTCTCATACCAAAGTAGCCATTTGTGGTCATTTTTCTTTTCCTCTGTTCCTATTTTGTGAGGAGGAAAAAGCTATTTATTTATTTATTTGTGATAATCTGAACTCAACTGCTCTTTGCATATGGCTCAAAGGAAGATGTTACTTCTTAATGATTAACAGCTAATATGATCATCTCAAACTGGTGCTTATTCTAAAGTGAATATAAACAGCTATAGAGCATTATATTACTTCATTACATAATAAAATTGAATTGTGTTCATGCTGCATTTCATGCTGTATGATCAATTATTTAAAAAATAATCCCTATACACTGTAAACATTATATGCAGTCTTAACTGCTGTACGCATTGTACAGTAACATAAGGATATCTTGTTAAATTGCTTTAGCATTCATTTTCCATTGTGGTTCCATAAACTTTTTACCAGTCTCATGCAAATGGATATTTCTTGCCAAACAGTATTTTTTCTCATGGTTCATCATGAGAAGGCCCACTCTCCAACTTATCACAATTCCCTTCCAAATTGGAGAGTAAGCAACAACAGTTCCACAAATTTAATTTTCCATGTAGAGAACATGATCAGAGTTAAAGAAGCATAAAAGGGTTTTACATGTACAATTTTCTCTTGTGGCCAAAGGTAAATAATTTGGTGGTATATTTTAATATCTGATGAGAGTATTCTATTTTTTTTAAAAAAATAAAAGTATCATAGCTGACTTTTCAAAGTAGTTTTCAAGGAGCCTTAAACAAAAATAAATTATGGTAAAACCATATAACAACTTTGTAAAAGAACATATTTATGAATGTTAAACAATTATGAGCATGAGCTGTATGTAGGTCTTGTGATATCTCTGTTCAAGTATATATTTTCAAGTATATATTAGACAACCGGTGCCCCATTCCCACTGTGGATGACACATAGGGGATCATAGGTTAGAAAGAGTGCTTGGGAGTATACAAGAGGTCCCATTAAGTTCAGGAATGGTGTGTGGGATGGTGGGGTGGGGTGGGGAAGGCATGTGTTCATTTCTCCCTGTCCCTCCCTCCCTTCCTTCTTTCCTCCTTTCCCTTCTTTTACCCCTTCCCTTTTCAGCAGGCAGATAAGTGGCTGCCGCTGGGTGGTGGAGGGAACAAGGAATTGCATGTCTGGGTAGAAAACGGTCATGGAATTGAAAATGAAGATCACATGACCACAGCATCAGTGCAGCAGCAGCCAGTAGCCCAAAGCAATCAAATTTTATTCCCTTGGGAGCTGAGGTACCTTGATTCATTTCCCCCAGTTAAAGGTCATGACAATAAGACTTTTAATAATATATAGATAATTAAGAACTCAATATTTCACGTATTGTTTGCAGGAGGAGGCTTCTGTTCATCTACTCTATTTCAGGGAACCCATCTATGTTTTCTCCAATCAGTCATTAGGAACGGAATATGTCCTTTTGTGTATTTTGATATAGTTTCACACATAACTATGGACAAGTGAAAATGGATACAAAGTTAAAAAAAATAACATTTACTAACATTTACTGAAGCATTCATGCCTCTTTTGCTATTTGTTCATTTAAATATATACTACATGGCATATTAATGCTTTTTATTCTTTTTAGCTCAAAGGAATTTTGGAAAGAAATTATGACATGTTATTTCAAATACACAGAAGAAAACAAATCCTTAAGCATGTAAATTATGAAACCAATGTCATATGATTAGATCATACCTTGAGCATCATATTTGTTATCTTTATATATGGCCTTTTTTTCAAGGAGCTTAAGACAACGTTTACAGCATTTTCTCTTATAAATTTCCTCTTAGCAATCATATGGGAGAAGTTACTGTCATATAATCAGAAGCAAGTATCCTTGGATAAAGGTGGACTTGAAAGTGGGCTGCCCCATCTTCAAGTTACAAATCTTAATTATTACTTTGTTCTTCTCACCACTGGAGGTGAGTTGAACAAGTGTGCAGGAATGCAAAAGTGGAAATAATCTCGTCTATCACTGGTGTCCATTCTGGTGATGGAAGTCATTTCTCATTTGGAGACGTACGTCTATATATAAAGAAGATACATGAAAAAGCATCTAAAATTACTAATATTAAAGCATAGTGACACTGTTGCATTCTTTGTTTTTCCCTTTCCTCTAGAGTATCTGCTTGAGCATTTGGAAAATAAGCTAAATATCTGAAGTTAGTCAAAGTCCATGAGGCAAGATCCAGATAATAATGATTTTCAGTCACTTCAGTAGGCCAGATTTGATCTGAACCAATGACCTAAAGGTTAAAGGCTTCATATACTATTACCAAACTTCTGAGCAATCAATTCCCAGGATACACTGTGTATCTGATATCTTGCAAGGTGGCCCTTATCAGTAAGAAGAGGCACTGATTCACACTAAAAGTGCATTAGTAAAATAACGATTTAAACATGAGAACCTCTAAGCCAAACTCTATTCCTGGCAGCTGAAATTAGTAATAGGGTCAGATGAAGTCTCATGAAGTTGATCTGAATGTTTAATATATCAAATTGATTATGCTAGATATATTGAATGTTGTTTTATTCCTTTTTTATACTATTGCAAAAGCTGTTCCAAGTGTCTACAAACTTAGATGAGGTAATTGTAGTGCTACCTGAAATAGTTAACAAATTTATTTCAAGTAAACATCTCATTTCTGAATCTGTCAAGAGCAAGATACTTTCCAGGATTCATAATACGGAAATAAGGAACCATACAAAGGTTGAGATAGACAAAAGTAGAAATTAATCAAACAAAGATTGAGAAGAATGTGATGTGATTTCTGTTGGCTCAAAAATGATGGATTGTCTCTGGCTTTTTCATAAACAATTGGAATTGCTACTTTACTTCACTGACATGAAAGAACAACATTTCTATAGATTTTATTAACACCATTTTTAAGGAAGAAGGAGAGATATAATTGAGTTTATTTTTAAACTTATAATTAATTGCACATCTTTTTAATCATCTGCCCATATATGTATTAAGGGTTGCATTATATAACTTCTTTATTCCAATGGCAGCAGGTGTTAATCTGCTTTGCAAATGAAATAACAATTGTTTCATAAGCGTTTTAGAGTCACTTCTATGCCTGCCATTTTACATAGAGCAGAATTTTATTCTCAAATACTTGTTAAAAAATGGAAAATTATGGCTATCAAATAAAATGATTAATACCTGGATAATTATTCAAAAAGAAATAGCAGAATAGATACATTTTCCATCACAGCACTTATTTATATTACTATATGTCACTTCAATTAAACAAAAGAAAAACAAATTATCTTCAGTAAGTTTGAATCCCTTGTCAAATTCAAAAACTAAAGTTGTTGATTTTTAATCCTAAACTTGTACCTTTAATCTCCACTTGTACCTTCACTCTTGGATAGATAAAGGCCTTTTTTCATCTTTAGAAAGCCAAAAGATATATATAATACTATAGAAAGTAAACAAAGTGTTGAAAATAATATGATGCCATTCAAAACTTAGTATAGTCTGTACAAAAACTAGTTTATTAAATAACTATTTATTTATTTAGTTAGTTCAAGTTGTATGTTAAAGCTTTTCCTTGTTTCACTAAGAATTTTAATTCTAGATAATTCAGAATGATTTGTTACTTGATTTAATATTATGAAATTTTCTATGAAAGATATTTTCCCCTTATTTCAATACATATTTTATTGGTTAATGTCATTATATTACATTGGTAAACAGAAATGGCACAGAAGGAACTTATAATCATTTTGTTTGAGGTATCAATATAATTGCTAACCCTGAATCAAACAGTTTTTTTTTTCCAGAGTACACGTGAACCTCTCACTTTTGTGAAATTCTATTCTTAAATTCTATCAGCAGGGAGCATTGATTTCATCCTACAAATCTCATAATTTAAAAAAAAATATTTCCTACATGTATTGTATAATCTTAAATCAGGTTATATATGCTGAAGCCAATAATTTTTATTGGATTTAACATGTATCAGTAACACAATGGAACTTTGGGGCAAACAAACTCTTTCAGCCCAACTTACCTCAAAGTCTTTATTGTTGGGAGTGTAAGAGAGAGAATCGCTGCATATGCCATTTTGAGTTCCTACATACTGTAAAAGGCAACAGACAAACAAAATATATAAATCATATAAATAAATTATAAGGACACATTTTTCTCACTTGGCAATACTGGACTTAGGGAAATTACTTTTGAAGCAGGTGGTCCTGGACATTCCTATTATGAATGATTTATTAGTGTAAACTCTTTAGGGCAAGGTATATTTAAAACAAAGCTATGTATGTAATTGGGAATGAGTGAAAAATTATTGTTTCTTCAACAGCTCACTATACTGCAGAAAAGGCCATAGGAAGAAGCAAGATCCAAATCATAAATTCAGCTGTACAAATGTTAGGACTTTGGAACAGCATCAAAACCATCCTTGGTCCTAATGCAGCAAAATCTTTACAGCTTCCATGCAGCATAATATGGACTGAAGTCATGCTAAGATTTTTGAGAGACACAGTGTGAAGTAGTGCAAGATAGACCCATAGGGGAGATCATCTACATGTCATTCTGATCTATTCAGCTTCAAAATGATTGATGAAATCAATTTGCAAGATTGAACTGCCAATAGTTCAGCTAACTGTATGATTCAATTTATAAATTACACTTTTAATTATTCTTTTAAAACAAATGATGTGAATTCAGAGGGCAGACTATTTCACAGTTTATTTTTCCTATAGATTCTGTCTCCAGGCCAATCTGCAAAAGTTCTTCCTAAATCAAAAAATCTGTAAAATAAAATGGTATATATACTGTGGGATGATAATGATCCAACTACATAGAAGCATTTTCCATTTAAAGCATCTTCTGTTAAAAAATGTTTCAAGGTTATCAGTAAAGATCATTAATTGCAGTTCCTGGATCAGTTAGTATTACAGCACATTAGGACCTTTCCCAGATGGAAACATACCGTATGTTATTGTCTTAATAATCTTTACTGTTTGTGTATATGTGTAATTTTTAAATTGAACTAGAGTATAATATAATCAAATTAGGATACTTGAATTTAAATAGGTTGGACATACTTCAATGTATTGTTCTTTGCATTGCTCCTTAAGGAGAAATGCTTTCCTTTGCATGAATAGGGGTGTTCCATTGCACACATCTCTATTTTAATAAAATCTTTTGCTCTCATATACTGTATGCAAACAAATCTTTAATAGAGATTGACTACTTTAGCTGAGAGCCACATTGAATAAACGTTTTAATAGGGTAGCTTCAATAAATGAACTTGAGTTTCTGATGGCTGACCTCACTCTCACGCTGAAACCTAGCCTGATAGCTGAAATACAGAACTGAATAATTGTGTAATGCAAAAACAAACACTGCTCCAATATACTAGTTCAGTTTTAAGAAAGTATAATTTGGATTTAAAAATAATAAAAAATAGTAAATATAGTTTAAGATACATGGTTAGTACTAGCTGGGTCTAGAATTAGGGTTCAGTTAGGAGAATTGCCTTACAGATTTTACATTGACTATATTTCATTTAATATTATCTAAAAATGACACCCCATTTAACAATGGATATATCAAAAGCATGTTTATCTCTAAATTCCCTAATATGTTAAGAGTTATATATGATCACATAAGATTAAAAAGAGCAAACTATATGAGAAAATTGGGGGTGTGCATTATTACTAAACCTTTTTCTAAAATAACTGATAAAAAGTCTTCTCCTAGCAAACACATAAAATTGGCATTGTACAGTCCTGCTCTGTTTTTAATATAATGTGCAGATTCGTTGCATAGTGCTTAATTTTATGTACCTTTTGCAACTCTTCTCAGAGCAGATGTAGCCAATATCTGATTGACTCTGGTCTGAGGGTATTGGATCAGTTCAGTGTAATTTCCGTTCTTACTTTTATAAGAGAATAATTTTAGTTTAAAAAGATCCATTTGTTTTATATACAAAAGGTGATATTATTTTTCTACCATGTTTTATTAGCATCTGCTATGTATATTTGTATGTGGTGTGTGAGAGGGAGAAATAATTTTCTCTGTCCTCAAGGTGAATTTGTATGTAAACTATTACTTTGTCAAATGTTTGTCTTGCTATGTAGACAGAGAAAAATTGGATTCAAAATGGAGGATACTTTTCTCCTTCCTCAAGCCAAAGAACCATTGAACCTGCGCAGTGCTTTTGGAAACCACTGAAACAGGTTGCACAGTATACTACAAAGCACACACATCTTCATGATGCTCATGGAGACATTGTGCAGCTTTAGTGATTTTTCAGTTCTCTGGGGGAAATCACTGTTCACCGTTTTGACTGGATTTCATTGCCAGTCAGCCATCTGTAGATAGCCTGCTCATAATTTGGAGTTGTTTATAAGTCAGATATACAATACAATACTTTTAATAGGCTTTTCTATTGTATCCCAATACAAAAGCCTATTAAAAGAGACAATACATTTCTTTATATTAATTAGATAATAGAAGTCACTTTCATGCCACTAAAATAGCTGATATATATTTCAATCTGTATAAACATTTGATAGATCAGTATTTCTGACTCAGTCCAATAGAGCAAGGTTTTTCAACCAATGGTACGCATAACACCTGTGGTACTTTGCCACGTGGCAGGTGGTACGCGACTGCTAGCCAAGTGTAGCAGGCGAGGGGAATGAGCCGAAGCGACCCAGGCCTGAGGGAGAGGCAGCTGCAGAACTGTCTGGGGCTCTGCAGAAGCCCCAGGAGCCGGCAGGGCTCCAGCTGATTGGTGCTTCTGGAAGCAGCTGGGAGCTGGAGGTGAACTGAAGAAAAGGGGGGAGGAGAGGAGAAACTATAAAAGAAGGTAGTTTGCGCGGGAAAGGGGAAAAAAGACAACAGGGAAAGAGAAGGAGAGGTCAGCAGGCAGGGAAGAAATGGACAGAGAAGAAGTAGCTGTTGCTGGAAGAAAAGGTTCCCTTGTTTGTTTTCTCCAGCCAGGAGAATGCAATCAGCACTGATGAAATGAAAAGCCAACATGTTGGAAAGGAGGTGGGTTTATTTAGTTCTGGATCAACTGGCAGCTGAGGCTCCTTTGTGTACTTTGGTTATTGGAATATTTTAGTCTGTATTTTAGGCTAGCAATGAGTCCAAAGTATTGGCTTCCATAGGTTTGATCCCTTTAAACAAATGTAATTAGTTTTACCCGCTCATCTTGAGTCTGTCTATGGCTTTTAGAAAGTTTTCTTTGAAAGTAAACAGGCTTAATTTAAAGCTAAAGCTTTTCGCAATTGCCTGAGCCTTTCAGTCTTGAGTTGCAACATTGTGACATGTGATATGCCTGAGGCAGCTTAAAGAAAAAAAACCCAGAGTTTATGTGTTTCTTTATTTTGTGAGCCTTACTTGCTTTGCATTTGATTCCTGTGTCTTTAAGGGTACAGGGAAGGGATTGAAGGGGGGTGCATTCTTACTACACTGTGGAAGGAGAGCTAAGAAGGGCCACAAACTTAGCAACTTTAAGACTTGTGGACTTCAACTCCCAGAATTCCTCATCTAGTCATGATGGCTGATGAATTCTGGGAGTTGAAGTCTACAAGTCTTAAAAGTGCCAAGTTTGAAGACCCCTGAGCTAGCTGGTAGTGGTGCATATTAATAAACATGGATAAATTCATCATACATTTGTCAGTGCAAAGGGAAAGTGATTCAGCAAAGGAACAGCCACCCCAAAAAATTAAAACTGGTACTTTTTTCCTTTTTTTCTACAGTTTGTAATATTTTATTAGATTATAGAATAAAATACAAAAATACAAAAGCAAATAGTAGGACAGTGGGGAGGAAAAAGGGGGAGGGAGTGAGGAGAAGGGAAAAAGAGCAGACTTCCTCTATTGTAGTAGAAGGAAGCATTAACATTGAACCTCAACTTTTTTCTTTTCCATATTATAAAGTAGCCATTTCTATAACAACAAATGAATCTAATCAGTAAAACCCAAAATCCCACTTTTTTTGGTTATCAGGTTTTTCACATATTGCTAAGCACTGGCGGTACTCAAATACTGTCATGTCCTAAAAGTGGTACAATCTGTGAAAAGGTTGAAAAGACCTGCAATAGAGGATGTGTTCAATTTATATAAAATACAGTACCTAATTCTCTTGTCATAAGTTCATTGGCCTCAGTGTGGTATCTTTGTGAATATATATATGGACTGGTTTGGGATGTCAGTTTTTCAAACCAGTAATGTAAAAGAGACAATAGCAACTATATTGCAAGGATAGTTAATTAAAATCTGATTCTACTCAAACTGAAAGGGTGCCATTGAGAGAAACTAGCTAAGCTTGAGAACCTTGAATTGATATTTTTGTCTTATACACAAAATGTTCCAATGATCTTAGAAAGGTTTAACCTATCAGTCTTATCCAAGATTTCATCTGGAAATTCATGTGTAATACAGTTCTTGAAAGATAAATATTTAGCTTCCTTGGCAAAGATGTCCTTAAAAAATAATTGCTAAAGAATGGAAATGTAAATTACTCTGAAAATTTCAAACATACTTTACACATACAGATTCCAGAATCAGCTACTTAAAATGTAAATGGTGTTTTGCAAATTGAGTCCTGGTTGTCTGAGCTGAATCATTAAAGCTATGATTTATCCCAAAATTGACTTTATTATTGCGTTTAATTATAATAGAGGATTAAGCCCAGAAGTATTTGACAATCTATTTCTTTTCTTACTATGAAAGTAATTGACCATTTATAGTATGGTTAACTATTTTTGGTTTTTTTTAAAGATTGTGTTTCTAATTTTTATTCTATTCTTAAATTGTTACAGAAATTGAAGCAACCTGAGGAAATGAAAGAATCTCAAAAAAAAAAGGATGTCTAAAGTTTGCCTTGAACGCTCATTAAATTTAATAGCAACAAATGCATTTTGTTGGGAAAAGAACAGTGCAAATAAGGTTGAAGGGCAAGAAGAAAATGGGAAAAATGAAGAAATATTTCTAAATAGTTCTTGAGGTAGAGAACACATAAAACCTTTCAGAGATTCTTTGTATGGCAGCTTCTCATCCAGTGCAAGATCATACAAGGTTTAAAGATACTCTACAGCGATGAAGCACTTAACAGAAGAACTAAACAAGATCAGTAAATATATTGAGAGTTGCTAAGACTCACCATAGCATATATCCTGATACGATTGTACAATAAAGAGGAGACTGCATCCTTGTGAAAAGAGAGAAAACACAATACCTATAAAACAGTTATAACTTTTAAAGTCTTAATTTGCACTTTCATGAATTATTGTACAGAAGTTGTAAAAATGTTCTTTGACAAAGAAAATTATATTTGTAGAAAAACGTGATAGCAATAAATACTAATTTGTGCCGTGTTTCTGAAATGGCACTTTACTAACTTTAAATACTGGTCTTAATATTAACAAAATTAGTGTTCACTTTTATAAAGTAAAGTTTTATAAACATTCTAGTCTTAAAATCTTATGCAGCTGAATTGCTTTGTTTGCCAAAATTGAACTTGCCAAATTACATTAAAACCACTTGGATTACATTATACAACATAAAAATGCTGTTTTTGAACCAAGATTTATTCCTAGTTCAAACATCTCCAAAAGATACTCCATATGTAGTCTTCTGTAATTGTTATATCTTGTGCTGATTTAACATGTATTCAGATTTTATCTTAATGTTATTTCAGAATCATGGAAAAAAGGCCATTTAGATTTGTAATTTACATGTTAAATTTTTGTAACAAGGAAAAAATGGTGCTAGCAAAGAAATTTGTGATTTTTTTCCTACAAAGACTGTTTATATGTGAGGGAAAATGTCTATTTCAAAGGTGGAGTGTTATTTTTTCTAGATGTGAAGTATTTATAACAACTTTTGTACAGCAATCTGTAATCTAGCTACATTTGTGATACTTAGTCATTTTACTGTTTATAGCAAATTCCTATTCATTTTTCCTCAGAGTATGATGTACTATCAGTGTTATGTTATTAATACTTTTGTGCAATGTTACATTTTATGTTGTTTTAAATATACTGTACTGTCAGGGTGGGATTTCATTCTCTCAGACTTTTATAAAATTTATTTTGGAATTTATTTCTGAATAAAAGTCATATCACATCTAGATATTCTAATATTTATGATAGTTATTTCAACAAAGATTAATCCAAAGGAATGGGCTAATTTTAATTACACATTAAAAAGCCTAGAAATTAACTAAAAATATTGTTTATTTGCGTAACATATATTGGTAGGAAAGCGAAAAAACAGCCAGATGAAAAGTAATGGCGATAATTCTCCAGCCATTTCCATTCTCCAATCACACAGATATATATGCTCCAGGAGAAAGGAATATGCAGATAGTTTGGTGAATTTGCTAAATGGGAACATTTGATCCTAAATTCAAAGCTCTTTTAGCATCTGCATCTTCTTTTGGGGAAAAAATGGTCAGTGCTGAAAACAAAAATCTCTCAAAGACGAGGTAGGCAAAGCCCATCAGCTTTGGAATACTAGTAGTAATGCATATTTTAAAAACATACGCTCTTGTGCAAAATGAACTGTAGGGTGCTATCAGCCAAGTCAAGCACCAATGTTCATCAGTCAAAAAACTGTGCAGCAATTCCATCTTTTCTTCCTTAAGGATTTTGTTATATAAAGAGAGAGAAGAACCAGTGAGAAAAAATAAGGTTTGTAACAAAAAGTGTCTAGGGGTGCCCATAAAATCAAGAACTGAGGCACAGTAAAAGCCTTCTCTGGGAACTCCCTACAGAAATCTGTTTTTTACCTGATAGCACTTTTCATGGGTGCTTTTAGTGAACAACTCCCAACCCTGGTGCATCTGTTTTCTTTCTCATTCCTTCCCACTGCATATTCCCAGGAAAACACAAGGGGGCTGGAGAAAAATGACTTAGAACCATTATAAAATTCTGCTTCCATGCAGGTCCTTTATCATACTATCTCTGTGTTATGGGACTGCACCGTTTGTGTTACCTTCCATTTATAAATTTTACAAATTATTCTACCATTTTCTTCTTGTTTTGCCAAAAACATTGACTAAAGAGAGAAAGATAGCACTCCTGTAGATTACCTTTCACGATGATACTAAATTTATTCTGAAAGCATCTAGTGTGACTTCACAATAAAACCTCGCCTTGAAGCTTTCAATGCAAAAGATGGGCTCCAAATGGAAAAAAAATTGGGAGTCATGTTAAAATTATGAGACCATCATACAGCATGATAAAACCTTCCCATTTTGCAGTTTGCATCAGCACCAAAACAGTTTCCTATGCTAGCCCATGTTTTATGCAGTTTTGATAATCCCTTGTTTCAGAAAATAACCAATTTTCTTTCTTAACAACAAGCTATGATGTGTAAGCTTTATTCCACTTCCCTTCCTTTCCTGATTTATGTAATCAATTCAGCCTTGAGCAATCGTTGGCATACTCCTGGTGGAGGTATATCCTAGATGTCTGTGACCTAGGAAGCACATTGTGAAATATACACCATTGCTTATTTGGCTGTGTGTTTCAAAATATGCCCTCCTTCCCCCAAACAGTACACTTAATTAGCCAACTCAGGGCAACATTGGCAACCAAAATTCTGTAGCCATTGGATAGACGAAGAGTTGAATTAAAGGTCTCTGATGCAACAAATGAAAACACATTGTAATTCCACATCATCTTATTGATCATTAGTTTCATCTCAGATGAATGGTTCCCAAGTTGCATAAAGCTATGGAAATACATAACAATGGCTTGGCTCACCCTATAGGCTAACTCACTGACAACGCTATGTGAAAAGTATAAACCCAACTCAGGCGATGATAGCTTATCATGATGACCTGACAAATACTGGGCAATTTTTTTTTTAACTGACTTCATTTTCAGACAACGGAGAAAAATCATGAGGATTCGTTCTTCCCTGCTCGCCTTTTCCACTGCAAGGCCAAACCGGAGACTCCGAGTTATGACCACCGGATGAAAACCGCCTCTTCTCCAAACCGATATCCTTTGTGGCCAGTGAAATTAGTAACGGAGGCGAGGTATAATCGCCTATATAGTCCAGTCCACCTCATCTGAGTGCTTTAGTTTAGGGAAGCCCGGGAGAAGGGCTGTTTGGCTACTAAATCATTGCCTCGCTCGCTCATTTTCTCAACCCGGAAGAGACTAAGCGGCCACGAGCATTTTCCAGTTCCCAAAAGGCGACTCAATGGCCGGGAAAGTTAAGACAGCGCGACTTGGCAAGGGGCGTGTTTGTTTTTTTCCCCCTTCTTGCTTTCCCATTTGCACCCTAAGGAACCTCGCCTGGCTGAAAAGAAAGGCGCGAAAGGACGCCCGGAGACTTCCAACGAGTTATTTATTCGCGCATTTGAATACTTTGCTCGGGTCGCGCTCGCCCTTTCATTTTTCCCGTCGATCTAGTCCTGAAATGTGTTTAAAGTGCCCCACTTGTCCCGCCTAGATGATCGCGAAAACTGTCCATTTGAAATCTCTTGCTCGGAGGGTCTGAAAGCCCCGGAGCCGACGTTGCTCAAAATCTAACCTACACAGTAACACTGGACTGCTATTAAACTGAGTTTAAAAAAGGACCTTGCTACACCTTTCCTATACGTCAACACCCCCCCCCCAATTCTTCTCCCTCGATCTTACACAAAGAAGTTTGCGCCCGTCCCCTTTAGTTGCGTCGCCACGGAGGCGCAATCGGGCGCCCCTTTCCCCTCTCTGTAACCTGGAACGCCTTCAGCGCGCGCCCCGTCCTCTGCTGGAAAGAGGCGCGCATTTGGCAGCTCCGCGCTCAGAAGCGAGGTTCCCTCCTCGCCTTAGCTGAGTGACTGAGCGCTTTTTAAAGAGGAGGGCCGCCACTGTCTCCCAGGGCTTTGCGCTCCGACACGAATCAGAAACTAAGCGGGGCAAAAACGCACGGGCGGAGCCAAGATTTTCCGGAGAGCCAGAGGAGCGAGCGCCTTGCTTAACAGTACAAGAGACCCAATGAGGCGCGTTGCACCGGTTGCGCCCTGCGCGCTATCGCTGCCGAGCTCAAGTAATTCATTCAGGCGCGAGCCCACACCCGCATAGGCATCCTCACCGCCCTTTAAGACAGGGGGGGAACGGCCGAGAAAAGCCGGTCGTCGTCGCCGCCCTCCTTAATGGCAAAAAGCGCTTGGAAGGAGCCGATGGAGCGCAGCGTTAATTAACCGTCTCCGAAGCTATCTCGCCTGTTGCAATTTTTCAAGCCAAAGGCGCTTAGGAAGCGCATGCGCACTCAGGAAAGGAAAAGGTCGGTTGGAGAAAGGGGTGAATGTGCGTGACAGAAAGCGAGCCACGCTGCGAGTCTCGAGTGTGCGGGGGCTTGAAAGATGGTAAAGGACAATCGGGCGTTTAAAATTAGTATCATTGCCCTAAAATAAAGAAGCTGAACAAATATCAACTGGGTGATTTTGCTGTCCAACTAAGAAGCGTTGGATCCATCTCGTTTGGATGGGAGACCTGTGAGTAATCCCAGGGTGTCTAAACTGGGAAAAAAAGCACCTATACTGTCAATAAGGCAGGACGCATCCATGCTATCACCAGAAGCCGAGAAAGACTTTATTGGTGCTCTTCCTCCTCGGCTGCCTGCTAGATTAGTCTCTGCTTTTCCTCATAGGCATAACCTGCAGAGTACCAAGGCTTCGCGGGCAAGGTGGAAATTCGGTGGCGGGAAAATCCACGGGCAGGACGGTCTGATTCGTCTCCACGGCTGCTCCGAGAAGACGTCTCGAGGCGCAGCGCCGTCTGTGCCGGAGCGTGACGGCTCCCACCTCTTTTCCCTAAAGTTTCTTTCCTCTCCCCGCCCCAGAAAATAAGGGCTGGGAGAAAAGGAGGGGGGTCACGTGGCCCGACGAAAAGGGAGGGGGCTACGCGAGGGGGGGCGCCTCTCGCGCGCTCCCTCGCTCTCTTTTTCTTGGCGCGGCGTCTTCCGTGATACTTTCAGTCTCTTCAGTCTCCGGCGACGCTGGAGGGAGCTCAAACGGGAAAAGAAGGAGCCCGGGCCAGGTTGGCGATGCGGGCTCGGGCGTCGCTTGCTGCCCTCGGAGCTCCTCTCCGCAGCGGCTGCAGCAGCGCCACTCCGTCCGAGCCGAGGTGCGCCGCTCCCCAACCTTCGCCCGGCTCGGGCTGTTGCTGAGACCGCGTGTCTTCCTCGCCCGGAGCCCGCCCGCCCGCTCGCTGCCGCCACCACCACCTCCATCTCCGACGGCTTCAGGAGGATGTGGCTCCTCGCCGTGACGACAACTTTCTGGGGATTGTTGCTGGCGCCAGGTAAGCGCGCGAAGGGACGGTCTGGTCCCTCTCGCCACCTTGTCCGCCTCTGGCTTCGCCTTCCCCGGGGGAGAGCGCCCGGTACCTGGCAAAGTTCGCGCGTTCGCCTCCGAGCTGCCACAGGACGACGACCGCGGCTCTTCCTCAGCCGCTTGGCTCCAGCCTGACTCGCCTCCTGGTTTGAGCCGTTGGCAGCAGCCGAATGAACGCGCGCGTCGCATCCTAACAGTTGTTGCAACAAGCGCGATGGCCAAGGAGGCTTTTTGGGGTGTGTGTTTTTTTCCTCTCAAGAGGGAGACGGTGCTTAATTACAGTCCCCATCCCGCCCCGGCTAGGAAGGCGTGAGGAACAGCGCTCGAGGTCCAGATGGCGGCTGTCCTCTCCCTTCTTTCCGGAAAACAGCCCCCCCCCCCGCTTTGGCTTGTCTCTAGAGCCGCGGTACCAGACGGGCGGCTCAACTTCGGCCAGCTTGCAACGCGCCCCCCTCCTGGCCCCGTTCTCGTGAGGAAGAAGAGGCGAGCGGGCTAGTGAGTTATCCTCACCGGCAGTGGCTGAGAGACAGCTCGTCTGGCCACCTCCCGGTTCCTTTCCCCAAGTAGCCGAGGGCGCGTGTAATTCATAGTGCTTGGAATATTTTAACTTAATAGCTTGGAGTTGGCTTTCGCCTTCTCTTTCTGGCCGCCCCTCATTGAATGGGGCAAACTCAAGTGGGGAAATGAGGATCCGAAGCAGCTCTCCTCTTCCAATAGGTAGCCGAGTCAAGGCTGAGTGCTGATCCTCTCCCGTTAGGCTCTTCTGTTCACCTAAGAACTGACCGCTACGGGCGAATCGGACAACTTGATTTATAGCCAGTCGCCCTTTAGCCCGAGGCGATCTTCCTTTTCTCTTCAGGAGCTACACTGATGCAGCCCTGAGCGCCTCTTGAAAACGGGATTAGTAGAGGGCGACCCTCTTCCGTTTGTTTCCCACCTTTCTGTTCAGCGGCGCTGATGCCCCCGGCGAGCACAGGTACTCAATTCATTTGCTCAGGCAGAGCTCCAAAAGATAGTAAATACTCCGATCTGTCTCCTTGCCCTCGCCCGAACTTCCAGAAGGACCTCGTTTACATGATAAAAGAGGTGAAGTGAGGATGCTTTGCAGCTGTAATTGTGCATGGCAAAATAGTAATTAAATCATTTGCAATTAATTAGTAATTAAGTAAACCCTTTCGCACGGAAAAGATGTGGAGCTGGAGCGCATAAATTAGGAATAGTGCTCCCAGGGCCACTCTGCCCCCAGCGCCGTTCGTTTGCTTTTTAAAAGCATAGTGCTTAAAAAAAAAAAAAAAAACTTTAAGGCGAGAGGAGAATTGGTGAGGAAAACAAATCAATTTTGTTACATGTCCTTATTGTTCATTCTGCCCCCTGCTGGATGCAGTTCAGGCTGATGCAGAGCCAGGTGGTTTTGAAAACTTAGAAGCAGAAAAACTGGTGAAGAAATCACATTTCGGCTTCTGTGTGTGGTCAGGATTTGCAAAAGACCAAGGCTTTAGGAAAGTTTAGCTGAAGGGGAGCGGGCCAGACCCAAATGCAAGAACCAATTAATATGTGGGAGTCAGGAGGGCATTGACACCGTAAAAACTTTTTTTTAAAGGGAGGAGGAAAACTTGACAAACCATACAATCTTAAGCTTTACCTGTAAGTCAGGTTGATTGCAATGTAGTATTAAAATTTGTTAAAACATATGCTATCATGAAACTTTCTATTTTAGGATTTGCTTTGCAAATACAGTGTTATCAGTGTGAAGAATTTCAGCTAAATAATGACTGCTCGGCTCCAGAGTTCATTGTGAATTGTACTGTGAACGTCCAAGACATGTGTCAGAAAGAAGTAATGGAAAAAAGTTCAGGTAAGATAAATTGTTCTAATTATTGCTTATAATGGACAGTCCTCTCTTTGCATTTTCTTTTCCATCTAATTCATATTTAAAGACAATGAGTTATTTGGAAAATTCAAGCATATTTTCATAAATATTGTAATTTGATCTAAATATATATATTACATTTTTCACTTCCTCTAAGGTATATAACTGGGTAATTAATAATGCTGAAATTTAGTAAAGCAATACAAATTTGAGGCCCGTTGAAAATACTGGGAAAGGAATAAGAGGTTCATTTAATCTTATGACAATGTAAGTAATTACAAAGCCTTAGTTAGAAGAAAATGTACTGATATAGTAGCTCTTTTTATTTACTCCAGCAGTTCATGAGACTTGATGTTTGATCTAGCTATGGAAATTGAGGTTGTGATTAAAGCAAGGCTTAAGGAATGTTATATTTTACAAAAAAAGAGAAATTTACTTTAGAATTTTTCCCAAAAGGTTTAGATATTTTTCATGTAACAAATTTAAGGCAGAGTAGAAACAACTTTACAGAAATAATGAATAAAATATTTGAACTTTCTATACAAGAGATAAAATGCAATGGAAGTTTGTATTTTTTAAAAAAAGATCTCAAAATTCTCCAAACTCCTGTGATTCAATTTAATGTGATGTGTATATCGGACAGTTTTTGGATTAAAGGATAAATTTGGAAGAAACAGGTGATTTATAGTAGTTCTTCTTTCCAAAGATAGCAAAAATATACAAAAGTCAAAATGTAACTCCTTCTTCATTCATGCAGTCTCATTTGAACTTCCAAAATGACTTCAGGCTTATTAATGCAAGATAATTGCATACATGGAGAATACTCTATGTGATTGACCTTGGAGAATAATATCAGAATGGCAGCCTACAATACAGTTGCAAAATAATTTGTTTATCCTTATTGCTCTAGTATTGGATTCATATACATGATAGTTTTACAATAAATCTGATAATTATATAAATAAATAGAATTGTGGGATTTGTAGTTGTTCCTGTTAAAAATGCCACAGTGATTATAATTAGGACAAGATTAGGGACTATATTGTAATTAGGGCAAGATTTTCTTGACATACAATGCCATGATAGCAATTACTAGACTTTATATTTCTTTTTCATAATATTTTTGCTTAACTTGTAAAAATGAAAGGGAATTGAAATTCCAGTAGATTTATCAAAGTACAGCCAGTAGTGTCAAAGTACTTGACTACTGTATAGGCTAGACAATTGCTTATCATTAGTATGTTCCATTGAGATTTGACTTGTTCCAAAGAATGAGATAGAGGTCAGGGCATTTTTCTAATTCTCTGAAAATGAACAGAACAAATTATTGAGTTCAAGCACACCGTTTCAGAGTACTTTTTAAATTAATCCTTGTACTGTCCTATTTCTATCTGTATTGAATTTTAACAAAACCATATCACTTGGGTGTATTTTTAGAATTTATTTCAAGTTTGGACACATATCTAAAAATACCCATTTTGATTCAAAACCAATTATTTAAAAAGAGAGATGAATTTAATAATAGCCTAAAAGTATTAAAATAAATCTTTGCAAAAAAAATCCCTTAATGAAATGTTGAAATGTTACTTTTCATTGTATCATTTGTAATAATGCTCTTTTGGACCACAACGCTTTATCACAAGTTACAATTTTAAATCTGTTAAATCGTATTAACAGTCTTTCAAGTTCAGCTGTTATCAAGGCATAAAATGTGTGTCAGCAAAACTCCTTTATCTTGAAATGTGTTGCTTTTTGGAAAACTATATTCTTGTACATTTTAAAAATAAGATTTACAACTGAATTTTCAAGCTACCTAAGTTACCATGACAATATTAATTTCAAAGTTAGAACTATTTTAAATTGAAAATAGTGTGTCTTTCCAACTCTAGTTAAATTATTTTTAATATTTACCATAGAAAAAGAACACTGAATTACTTTTTTTCCTTTGGGTTTTACCAAACTGAATTTCCTACCTAATTTGTAACAGTAGTGCTTCACTTAACATTATAACCTCTTTTGACTGTTATATTGTATAGCTTTTATTTCATAAAATATTATTTTAAATGAGTATTTTATTTATTCAAATTTATTTGTTGCTCATCTTGTGGTTCAAGACGATTCTCGTGTTAAAATCAGGGCAAATTCCTACTTTTAATATTAGAAATTCTTTGACAAATTAAAATTCTAGCTCAGATTTTCTAATCAAAATGAAAGATGACTTAGTTTTAAGTAAATCAGCAGGAGAAACAAGTCTATTCTGATTTTAAGCCACTCTAATCCCATTACAGTCAGTAAGGGGAAGGTTGTGATATTTAGTATATTACACAAAGAAAATCCATTTAACTCAGTAGATTTAACTTCCCTTTAATGTTCCTAAGAAAGAATTTGGACTAGCGAAACTATCAATGTTTGGCCTTAATTTGATATAAAGTCTTCAGGATTCAGGTCACTTACAGTAAAATAACCATTAATACTCAGTCAAGTTTATTTCTTTCATTATGTGACCAACATAATATGTAAAATAGACAAAACAGTATTCAATAATTTTATATTTGTAATGTTAGGTGTTAACAATGTTAAAATATAGGGCATAAAATATTATAAACTAAAGTCTCCAAATAAATAACTGTACAAGTTTTAAATCTATTATATCCTTTTATAATAAAATAATAAGGCTAATAATATTATTATTAATATTTTATCTTTATATCTTGAGTTGCTTTAATATTTACTAAACTTGTTTAGCTTAAATAACTTAAATAACCTGGCCTTGCTCTAGTCCTAACCTGGGATAACATTTAGTCAAAGTAAAACATTAGTTATTAGTTAACTTTTAAAAAGTCTACAATAATATCAGGTACTAAGATATAAACACAAATGTAGCATGTTTCTAACCCCATTAACTATTTTGTCCTCCATTCAGTTGTGTCTAATTCTCAGACATTGCCTACACTAATCCTTGTAGTTTTCTTGGAAAGATTTTGGAAGTAATTTGCCATTGCTTCCTTCCTAGGGCTAAAAGAAAGTGACTGGCCCAAGGTCACCCAGCTGGCTTTATGCCTAAGGTAGAACCTGAACTGATAGTCTTCCAATTTCTAGCCTGATGCCTTAACTACTATACCAAACTGGCTCTTAATTAACATTTAACTAGATATAAATCTCAGTCACATTTTAAATACTGATGCACAGAATTTGGCACAATTATGAGTAATAGAAAAGTGATTAGATTTCAACAGAACTACTGTAGAGTAAAATTATGTTTGCTGGACACATTTACAAATTTAACTGGTAGTAAATACATTGAACTCAGAGGACTTATTTCAGAATAGACATACAGAGTTTATCTGTGTTTTACTTGGGATAATGTTGAATTTGTTTAGACTTAAAATGTGCACAGAATAAAATACCACATTCTCTGTACTTTAACAGCATTTGTTTAATTCAACTTAACTTTACATTTGCTTAATACTAAACATCTCATTGATTTTCATTGTATAAGGCAGTGATGGCGAACTCTTTAGAGACCGAGTGCCCAAACTGCAACCCAAATCCCACTTATGCATCGTCGGATGCCAGGTGGGTGTGGCCCATTGGCTGGGTGTGGCTGCGGTGGTAACGGCAGACTGGGTGGGACTAAAAAGTTCAATCAATCAATTCCAACTTTGCAAGATCTTTTTTTTCCCCGCAAGAAGTTGTAATTGACTGATTGAACTTTTTTTGGGGGGGGGGCACATGGCGGCCGAGGCCTAAAGAGAAAAGGTTTTATAAACCCAGCTGAAGGCTTAGGACTGGGGCGACGGTGCACGTGCCCACAGAGAGGGCTCTGAGTGCCGTCTCTGGCACCCATGCCATAGGTTCGTCACCACTGGTACAAAGAGACTTCTGTATCTTAATTTTTACCTGTTTTTTCTGTTTATACAGTACAAGACTTTGTAACATTGCAGTCACATTTTCTCAATTTCATTTAGTTAGAGAACCAAATTCTATTTTTATACACTAAACAAAATCATTTTTAAAATTGATTTTTAGTTGATATCTGGCATATTTATTTTCTTAAAGTTTAATTTAGATAAGAAATGCAACATAATAATAATAATAATAATAATAATAATAATAATAATAATAATAAAGTTGGATGAGACCTTGGAGGTCATTGAGTCCAACCCCCTGCTCAGGCAGGAACCCTACACCATTTCAGACAAATGGCTGTCCAGTCTCTTCTAAAAACTTCCAGTGTTGGAGCATTCACCGCTTCTGGAGGCAGGTTGTTCCATTGGTTAATTGTTCTAACTGTCAGGAAGTTTCTCCTTAGTTCTAAGTTGCTTCTCTCCTTGATCAGTTTCCATGCATTGCTTCTCGTCCTGCCTTCAGGCGCCTTGGAGAATAGCTTGACTCCCTCTTTGTGGCAGCCCCTGAGATATTGGAACACTGCTATCATGTTCCCCTCATCCTTCTCTTCGTTAAACTAGACATACCCAATTCCAGCAACCGTTCCTTATATCTTTTAGCCTCCAGTCCCCTAATCATCTTTGTTGCTCTTCTCTGTACTCTTTCTAGAGTCTCAATAGCTTTTTTACATCGCGGTGACCAAAACTGGATGCAGTATTCCAAGTGTGGCCTTACCAAGGCATTGTAAAGTGGTATTAATACTTCACGTGATCTTGATTCTATCCCTCTGTTAATGCAACTGTGTTGGATTTTTTGGCAGCTGGAGCACACTGCTGGCTCATATTTAAGTGATTGTATACTAGGACTCTTGAGATCCCTCTCACAGTTACTACTATTGAGCAAGATACCCCCTATACTATACCTGTACATTTGGTTTTTTTTGCCTAAATGTAGAAGCTTACTTTTTTCACCATTAAATTTCATTTTGTTAGAAGGCGCCCAGTGTTCAAGTCTGTCCAGGCCCTCTGTATCTTAAGCCTGTCTTCTGGAGTGTTGGTTATTCCTGCCAGCTTGGTGTCATCCGCAAATTTGATGAG